ATTGTTTGGCTTAGAATCGTCTGAATGAGAAGTGGACTAAACGAAATCGGCGAGTTGGATAGCCAACTCGGCGAGTTGAAGAGGGTTTTCCCGTGTTTGGTTACTGCATGAACTCGGCGAGTCGATACGGTGACTCGACGAGTGGATAGGGTTTTCTCGATTATGGATTTAGCATGTGCTCGACGAGGTGATGGAACAAATCGGCGAGTTGACCAAGGTTTTGCATGGTTCTGAGGTTCTAAGGAACGCGACGAGTCTGAGGATAATTCGACGAGTTGACTCGGTTTATCACGAGTCTGAGTAACCAGGGAACTCGGCGAGTTAAGGGTTCACTCGATGAGTTGGTTCAGGATTTCAGAGTTCTGAGTTTTTAGAACTCGCCGAGTTGATGAAGCAACTCGGCGAGTTGAGTTAACTCGGAGCATTGACTTTGACCATTGACCGTTAACTTTGATTTGGACCAAGGTTGACCTAGTTTGACTGTTGAGGGTATTTTGGCCTAAGTGTTATTTTGGTATTGGTAGCTCGGGGAGCCGAAGGAGCAGTAGTTCGGGGAATTGCCAGCTAGCAGCCAGAAGTGTATCAGCAGGTCTTCAGCAGTGCAAGGTGAGTCTCCTCATTGTGTGCATGGGTCTACGGACACAATGCCGACCCATTATGTTTGTGTATAGTAGGAAGACCCGGGGGTTAGCCCTAGGAATTTTTATGATATATATGTTCCGGATTATGATCCGATGCCGGGCGAGGTTCGAGGTATGTTAGTATGCTAGAGGTCTTTGTGATTCTTGCATGTGTCAGTAGAATGTTTTCGGACTCGGGTCCGATGTCGGGATAAGCCCGAGGAATGTTATATGTTGCATAGTAGTTATACTTGTTGTCTTTGTGATACATGTATGTGCCTGGTAGGGAGGTGAGTGTGGGCGAGGTCCCGTATCTCACCACTAGGTGAGTACAGACGGGGTTTCGTATCTCATCATTAGTAGAGCAGGGGCGGGGCCCGGGACAGGAGAGAAGTGAGTCTGGGCACGGGCCCGTATCTCACCATTAGCAGGAGTATGGGCGGGGTTCTATGACTCTTCAGTAGCAGGACAGGGGCGAGGCCTTAGAACAGGAATACAGTAGAGTATGGTTGCTTATTGTGCTAGTATGTTTATGTTATTGTATGTGGTTAGCGGGCGAGGCCCAGAGACAGGCGGGGCTTGATGCCGGGCGGGGCCCGATGCCGAAGCGAGTCCGATGACGGCCAAGTCCCGATGCAGCGGGCGGAGGCCCAATATGTGGTTATGTGTATGGTATGTGGTAGGTTGGAGAACTCACTAAGCTTCGTGCTTACGGTTTTTAGTTTTGATTTCAGGTACTTCCGATAGCGGAGGGAAGAGCTCGGGATGACTGCATCGCACACACCATGAGTTTTTAGCCTGGGATGTTACTCTGATTTTTGATATGGAACTCTGATGACAATGTTTCGATGAAATGTTTTGATAACTTATAGTTTTATTAGTTAATTAAAATAAAAGTTTTGGTCTTGATTTTTGGGATGTTACACATGGTGTGGTTCTTGTGAGTAAAAGCTACTCTAGAGCTCAAGTTTGTCACTTTCTGTTGTTTTTGAGGACCTTGTGTCATAAAAATGAAGTCCTTGTTGTTGTTTCTCATTCAGGCAAGAGTTTGAGGTTATTAAAGAGTGTTATGGACCTAGGGTTTGGTATTGGGCTATATTAAGCCATGCAAAAGCTTAAAATTCACGACTTTATCAGTTAAGACTTTCCCAAGCTTAAGATCTATGAGTTGGACGTTTAGTCTTTAGGTATTACGAGCTTAAAAGGAGGTTTTGGACAACAGAGGATTACATGGCGTAACCTCTGGGTACGCATGGCTTAACGGGTTTAAACCCGAATCCTTTTTTCTTGAAGCTCAGTACGTCGGGCGTAAGTAAGGAGTACGCATGGCGTACTCCCATAAGTGTTATTGGGCCGTTTTTGGGCCTTGGGCCTAATTGGGTGGGTCTAGCTTGGAAAGGGTAAATTTGACTTTTACCATAGTGAGAGAGAATATGAAATGTACTTTTAATTATGGGCTATTACCCAAATTATTAACTAGGGTTGGCTTTGGATATGTTCAGTGTGAGGAGCCTTGATAGCATCAGCTCGAGTGTGTGATTTGTTTATCATCGGATTGATGTGAGTCTTCTCACTATACTATGTAGGATGCTAACTGTCTTTGTGACACTTACATAGAAGACCCCGAGGGTAGCCTGTGACATTTATATGAAAGACCATATGGGTAACCCATGTCAATTGCATGAAAGACCATGGGGCAGCCCATGGCACTTGGATGTTAAACCATGGGGGTAGCCCATGACACTCTGTTATAAGATCAAGGGGATAACCCAAGGCATTATAGGGAAAAGTCCATGGGGGTAGCCCATGACACTTGTATGCAAGACCGTGGGGGTAGCTCATGGCAATGTATGTATGATATGTGGTATTTTAGGGAACTCACTAAGCTTCGTGCTTACGGTTTATGTTTAAAATGTTTTTAGGTACTTCTGGTTCGAAAGGGAAGGTCCGACATGATCGCATAACATCCACCAATGTTCCAGATTATCATACTTTGATGGTTTGAAATGAATGATTGATGGTTTTGATTGACTTAAAAATAAAAAAATTTACTTAGTATATTTGGGATGTTACAATTTCGGTCCCTTATTATATTTTAAAGTTAGATTTTTCGTCCCTTACATAATTTGTTGTTATAGTTTTCATTTTCATTAATATTAATTTTAATTAATTATAATATTTTTATTAATTGTCATTTGTAGTATTTATCAAATATGATATACTTTCAAATTTTATTTTTATCCGTCTCCTCCATATATAATTTTTTAGATAGAAATTTTATTTTTATATTTTTGGTGTCTACTTTGCAATGTGTTCACCGCCGCAACGAGCGTAGTTACTAAATACTAGTATATATTAATTTGCAAATAGAGTTTGTGATGAGAAATCGTTATTCATATGGTCTATTTTTTTCAGAACCAAAACTACTAAATGCATATCATATTAAATATTTTAAAACATTTGATACAAAATGCAAATAAGGTTATATTTGAAAATAACAATTTTGACTGTTGTTATTGCAAACTTTTATATTGGGTAAATTACATCAATCGTCCCTCGTGTACATGCCAGAAAGCGTGTTTAGTCCCTATTTTCAAAAATTAACTCGGACCGTCCCTCATGTCATAAAAAGTTGCATGTTTCATCCCTGGTGTCATAAAAAGACTATTTTAGCCTTATCATTTTTCTTTTTTCATTTATTTATTATATATTTCTTATTAATCTATTAAAAAATTATATAACAAATTATTTTGGCCCACCCATTTTAGAACACCAGTTGACCATCTTTTTCGTATATTTAAAACCTACACCCAACCACCGCCCACCACTTATCATCGCCGCTCCGCCGGAAAACGCGACAATGTCGACGGACTTCCAACCACTTCTATAGACTCGAACAACCCTCTATCTCAACTTACCATCCTCACTCCACCAGAAACAACCAACATGTTAAATGACTTGACACGATCTACACAGTTAATGATGATGATGGTGTAGATCTGAAGCAACATCGTAGATTGAGACGGTGGCATGGATCTGAGACGATAAAGGTTTTCAAACGAATAGCTGGCGAAGATGGCTCTAGGGTTTCATGCGAACAGGTAGTGGTGGTCGCGCACAAGGTGTGAGACTCTAGGAGGCGGTGACTTTGACGATTAGGGAGGCGAAGTAGTTCCCGACGATGGCTTTCACGATCCACACCCTTTAAAACCCTCCTCTAAGACACATATGCAAGAATGTTGTATGAAGATCTTCTCTGGATGTTATTCTAGAGATCGTGTCAAGGGTTTTGTTAGTCGGGGTACCAGAGACGTTTTTCCGGCGGCAAGGATGTCACCTGATTCGTTTTTCCGACGACAAAGATTCACCACATTTGTTTCTGTTCATCGGGGTTCCCACCACCACCACCATCATCTTCGATCACCATCGTCATCAAGGTAGGAACTGTCACCACACCACCATCAGCAGTTATGCTGATGCTCTTCTTCTTTCTCTGCCTATCTTCTTCTCGTCCCACTCTCTGCACCTCGATGGAAGGTTTGATTTCTAGGTACGATTTATGGGTTTGATTTCGGGTTAGATTGTGGGTTTGGAAATCAGAACTATTTGGGTTTCAGGTTGAATCTTCGTTTGATTTTGATTTCTAATTGATTTCCAAATTCTAAAACCATTTCGTATATGTTTCAGATTTGGGAACTACATGTGAAAAGTGAAAATTAGGGTGGTCGAAGATGATGATCGGAATAGGATCAGATGAAGGCGGAGAAGAGCAGATCGGGAGAGGAGGATAACGGGTGTGTGGGGTGGGGTGGGGTGGGGTGGGGTGAGGGGTGTTGGGAGAGAGGTCCATTTATTTTTTAAATTTTAAATAAGAATAAATATTATCAGACTAACTGAAAAACAAATACATAAGGGCATTATGGTCATTTCAAATATGGAATGGACTAAAACTGCAACAAATTCGTCTTTGAGGGATGAAACGTGTAAGTTTTAAACAAACGAGGGACGGTCCGAGTTAATTTTTGAAAATAGGGACTAAACACGTTTTCTGACATGTGCACGAGGGACGATTGGTGTAATTTACCCTTTTATATTTATATTTTTCCCCTCGATTAATTTTGAAATAATAGTTTTCATCATAACTAGAGTGGTAACCCCCGCTTCGCGGGGGGCAAGGGGAGTTGATATGGTCGTATGATATTGGGTCGAACAGTTAGCCAAAACATTCCATACCCTTTTTAAATATACAACGAATCATATTTGTTTTCGTTTGTATAGTTTTGTTTTTGGAGTAGATAAATGTATCAAGAGATGACGATAAAAAGCTATCGATTCATTAATAGATCATTACAGGGCATTCGATTACAACAGTGTGGTTCCTTATGGTCTTCGGTGGTCTTCAACGATTTTTTTGCAGATGTCTGTTGCTGCACTCATGTTCTCCTGCATTAGTTGGAACATGTCGAGCATGAGCACGGTGTCTTTATCGAGATCGTTGATGAGAGATTCGATGATCACAACGTGCCGGTATGGCATTTCCACTGGAGCTTCTTGTATCATATTCTGCCTTGATTGTGCATACCCTTGATTTCTGTAAACAAACATAAACAACAGTACATCTTTACAAAAACAAAACTCGTAAATTATTATAAGCTTATTGATCAAATACACAAAAATGGTAATTAGACAGCTAAATATGACATTCCTTATACCTTAAAATGAAAATTGGGAAATATATATAGGGAAATATGATATTTCATACTATCATAATAAAACACCCAATACAGAATCTGACCAAAAGTTGGGGAGCTGCCATCTCCTGGTTTGGTCGGGCACTTGATATTTGCATCTATAAACATTAATTAGATTATTATTATTATTTTTAATCAAAATATAATAAAATTGAAAAACTTAACTTACTTGTTTTTCAAATATACCGATAACACTGCGGTCAACCAATAACTTTCTAAAATGTGAAGCAATTAGTTCAACTGCCTTGTGTACACCTTCACGTTCCCCTTGTACCTCCACAACACTATCATCAGACAGAGCAATTAGTTTCAAATTGTTCATAAGTCCCTTTGGGATTTAATTTTCCACAAAACCCCCCAAAAAAATAAAGTTTCCAACAATAAAAGAGTAACAATAATAGGTGTAAATTTCTTTGTGCTAAAGAGGGTTATGTGAGGCTCCACTCTATCCTGTATCTAATCCTGTTCGCTCCCCATGCTTTCGCACCCCAGCGTCGGTGGGGACCTAAGATGGTCAGAAGCATTCCTAACAATGCTAGTCCATTAAAGTGGTTATTTATTTATAATTGAACAAAAGCGAGGAGGCGAAGCCGCTTTACCGAATTGTAGAGGTGAAGGTACGAGAACTTCCCCCGAATCGACAAAAAGATTCCGAGCACGTCTGGTCAAAGTATATCTTGTCTTTACCACGAGCCATTTTCCGGCTAACATTCACTTGAAAGCCCCTTTTCTGGTAGACCTGGGCATGTTCCATGGCGCGAAGTCTCTTCTCATCTAATAGCTCTCATTTTGGGGATATATAAAAAGCTCTCTATCATCCACATCCAAATCTTTTTCTGGGCCCTGATGTTTCAGGGAATGGCGGAATCCTCGCGTGTCGAATATTCCAGCAGGTGACAGAAAGAATAAGAATGCTAATTGAAGAGCTTAGGCGCGAAGGTAGTCTCATAATAGATAAAAGGGGCAGTCTGGACTAGATTGATTAGAAGTCAAGTAATCGGAACTTGAACAAGGAAGGGGACATGGAATGCCTTCTTTATCGCTCTCGCCTCTGAACCCAGCGTCCAAGTCCACACATTCATCGGATGGGGCTCACTCATCAACAACTAGGCCTCCGTCACGTTCTGTTTCTGAATCAGGTTAGGATACGGCCCTAGAAGCTTCTGCTTTCTAGTTCTTCCGTTGTTGGTAGTTCCTCAGGTCGGGTTGTTTATTTTTCAGAGCTTTTTCAATTCTTTCAGAACCTTTCGTATGCGCCTATTGGAAGATTTGGGCTACCTCCTCTGTCGATCCTAATGCTACAGTTGCTATCAGTTGCTAGCCTCAAAAAAATCTTTGTACCCTCATGGATACGGTCCTGAGGCTTCTGAATGATAGAATTAGAGGGTCCCTTTCGGACGTACGATGAGTGTTCGCCCTTGGTCTACGCGGATCAGGGGCCCAGCTAACGCATCGGTCGGGGCCGGCCGGCCCGTAGATCTGGATCCATCCATAGACCTGACCTGATATCGTTTGTCCAAAAAGAAAAAAAAGTTGGTTTTTAGTAGTAGTTCATGATACCTCGAATTCCCACGTTCCAGCTTGCATTATGCCAACAAGTCCCACCCCCAACTCTAGCTGAGAAGTTGAGTCACCCTTCTTTTTTTTCAGAAAAAGAATCGAATAAAGAAAGAGATAGTCTATATCCTGTATCGATCATAGGATCACTCTATGAATAGGTAAATTCTCTGTGACCTCAAGCCATCCAGGGGGCCGGGGCCGCCCCCCACTTAACAACCTAAAAACCCTCCTACCCAATCGCAACCGAATTCAATCTCAAGCTCAAGACTTTACAAGGGGAAGGTAGCTGGTCTGTTGGTAAGCCCTTTTAGTCGACTCCACCCCAGAAATAGTAATAGGAGGGAGCCGCTACTTCACCGGGAGATCGTGATGAGGCAAAAGGGGGCTTTATTAAAGTCCTCGCAGGCGGACGCGCGGTAGCGTTCGTGGTGGTGCTTCAGGATTCCAATGTACTGCGTCCAAGATCAGAACGAGCTTGCCGGCGGACCACTGCCGTCCCATTCTTGAGTGAGCTGGAGCGCAACCATCTTATCCACTGAACTAGCTAGAAGCTATCGCTTCGGGTCGAAGCACTAAAAGAAAAGGACCGGGAAAGGCGGCGGCATAGTCGGTTTAGTAAGAAATTTTTTAAAGAGAAGGAAGTTTTAAGCAAGGAGACTCATCGAAGAAAGGGTTGTGACTATATGGATGTATCGAAAGACGGATGAAATAGACAATCTATCCTTAGCCTAAAGGCCCATTAAAGCTCTAAGGTGCAGTGTGACCGGAGCGGTTGTAGAGTTTTGAAATGGGATTTGAGGCGACGCCAGAGTATGAGGAGATCGCACTGGATATGGCTACTCTTTACGGCAAAGGGGGCATTGCCCATAAGATAAGACTGCCTAGGACTTCCTATTATTGCTTCTAAGTGAAAGGTTGCCAGCAACAATATACTGAAGGCATTCAGCTTACCATTGCCCAACCAAAGTCTAGCCCAAGTTCTGCCTGAAAGTCTTTCTGTATCAAATAAGACCTTTCTAGATGCAGTCAATTATCACGGATGAAAAAGTTAGCGAGCACAGGAAAGAGAGAACAGCTAGTCAAATTACAACCTTCTTCAACTGCTGAGTTAACCCTAAAAGTGGATCTGGCATCAAGCCTATCCCTTTCAACTTTTTCCGGGATCAAGTACTACTTATAGAAATAGAAAACACCAAAGGTAAGGCGGGTTAAGTTAGGGCATCAGTTGCTTCAACTAAAGAATCAGTCAAAACGAACCCTGAAACTAAATCCGCAACAGAGCGAGTAGCCAGGTGTGAATGTTATGGATCTAGCTCTTCACGAGCAGCAGAGCTAGACAAGCAAGCAACAAGGCTTCAGCCGGGTGTTTATCCTGGCACTATAGGGGAATCCAACACCTAGTGATTTACATTTTACACCTTATCTTCTAGACTTTCGGTGGAAAAACCAGCCGAGTCTTCCAGCAGGAGTTCCACGCCTTTTTAACCTGCATAAAAAAAAGGAAGTGGATGCAATTTCTAAAGTCTTGAATAAGGTCTTTGCTGGCATATTCTTAGAGTGTTCTCACAGGTTCAGGAAAGGAAGAGGGACTCAGACATTCTTTGCGCAGAGTTCTATTACTATTAATGGATGGCTCCGCGAAAAGGCCTGCTAGGTGATCGAAATAGCTCAGGTCAGCGAGGACTCACTCACCTACTCCTTATCTAATACTTTCTTCTATCTACTGAATTAAAAAGGCGACCCGCCGCGCCGGGCTATAAGATAAGAGACAGCTGTTGTACTACTTGACTGGTAAGAAAGAGCTTCCGTAAGAACTGGAAGACTCTTGTATGTACGGTAACCCAACAATAGGCCCTATCTAAAGACAGAAGGGGTCTAGTCTGAAACTGGTCTCGTGCTATTCGCGCTGCCAGAGAGCGTATCGAGTATTTGGAGGGGAGGCAGCAAGCGCTGCGAGCCTCGGAGCCGGCCCAAGCGAAGATCGGCACTCGCAGGCTTTCAGGGAGATAAGGCAGGGAAGCCATTAATGGTATTTCATTCGAAGTGGAAGCCATGCGTTAGGTAAACCAACCGCACATTGCAAGCGATGAAATTTTCCATGTTGCACTAAGTTACTTACGGATGTATGCATGCAGTCCGGGAACTTATAATTGAACAAAAGTGAGGAGGCGAAGCCGGTAGTAGTAGTTCTAGCTCTACATTAGGAGCAGGGGGGCTCTATCTAAAGGAGGTACGGACCCCTCCCATAGTACGGTACGATGCAGCTGAAAAACTTAATAGGCTACCACTCGCTCGCCGGACGCTCGGGCTCCGCGTTTCAAGTTCGTTATCCTAACCGTATCCTCTGCTCCACCGGGAGCCTGACCCCTTCTTCTATCTTATCTACTGCCTACGCTGTCAATAGAACTGTCGGCATATAACCTATAATCAATAGGAGCTAATAAGATCTTCCCCAGGGTAATTTCACTAAGACTCCCCTACTCCCTTGAGTAATATGGTTCAGGTGGAATAGTCGGACATAGAATACAGGGAATGCGCATACAGTGAATAAGACCCCTCCTTTAAGTAGCGCCTAATATTTCCCCTTCGCGTAGTTCATTGAACCTTCCAACTTCACTCCGTGGCCTGTGCTAAAGAAGCGTGTCTTAACTAATTCCTTTGAACTCATTTCACCTATTCTACCTCTCGATATCTCCTCACCTTGCACCTTTTCTTTCTTTTCCTCATCCCATGATCCTTTCCCATAAGAGCGGATTGTTGGCGATGACTTGGTGAAGGGAATCTATGAGAGAAGGTTCTCGCCTGCTTATGTTGCTTCGGCGGCGTTTCGCCTGGCAGATCATGTTCACCAAGAAATGACCCGAAATTAGATAGATCTTGGTCTATTTTAGATTGTTCCTTTTAATCGTAATCAAAGATGTTTTCTTGTCTCTCGTTTCTTTTCTGAACAAATAGAAGAACCTAATGGATCGAACTCATCCTTGGCTGCTACGAAAGCAAATAGGCCTTGCGTTGCGGAAGGAACGTTCTGCTCTGAGTTGAAGGCAAGAGCTCCTTGGTGGTCTCTATTATGGAACCCGTGGCTTCCTCCTAAGATGGGTTTATTCTCTTCTTCTGGAGATTCCTCAGGAATGCTCTTCCTATGGATGACAGGCTCAGATACATGGGCTTTCAAATGCCTTAGAAATTGAATTTCTACTTTTTACAGGTTCTGCATGGAAACGATCGGGCTTAAATATTGATGCAATGTAGCCAGAACATCTAGTGTAGTGACTTGGTGTTTACTACCTTAAGGCATGCCTTGACTCCACTCGATGGGACTTGCTTTCATAAAGATTTTGGAATTGAAAGAAGGGGCTAACCTGACTTTCACTTTCATAAAAAGAGAAAACTGGACTTGCACTTTAAGAAATGGAATTGCGATGAGCCAGAAGTTAGAATCTACCGGCAACTTCGAACTCTCACTCTCCTTCAGCCGATTCAGATACCGAATCGTCTCTCTTGGAGAGAGAGGCGCAGAATAAAATCTCCTTTCTTTTTCGAGAAAAGGTCCCATCCTTCAATATCATGATTGGGTCGACCAGGCCAGATCATGAGTGAAATATCATGATCGGGTCGACTCGGCCAGATCATGAGTGAATAGAAAATAGAAAATGTACATAGCAGTTCCAGCTGAAATACTTGGAATAATTCTACCACTTCTACTAGGAGTAGCCTTTTTAGTGCTAGCTGAACGTAAAGTAATGGCTTTTGTGCAACGTCGAAAGGGTCCTGATGTGTTTAATAACGCTTTTTAATGGATACCGGGGTTCCGATTCTATCCGAATAAGGGAGAAATAGAAAGAACTGGGTAAGGCTGAACTCTTCTTTTCTGGTAGTTGTAATGCTAAAGTATATTTTTCCTCAGTAAGCATTATCCGTGAAATGACTCATTTCCATTACTGTTTTCACTCCAAAAGAAAGAGAAAGACTCGGGGAAGGGCGGACTGGCGGGAAGGGTGGTACGTCCCTCCTGACCGAACCCGCCAAAAAACAAATAAATAGATAAAGTTTTGATTGGCGGGAGAGTTGCGTCGGAGACATCTTTCTCTGAGGAGGAGGCTTCGTCGTCCGGCTCCTCATAAATGATGTTAGGATGGGCCGGCCCATCCTCGGAATCCTAAAAAAAAAAGAGAGGGAACAGAATCACTTTCTTTCAGTGACATATCTAATCAGACTGAATAGGATTTTCAGAGCTGTCACGATCATTCACATCCATTTCAGTAGGCAGGAAGGGCACGGAAGCTACCGTTTCTAGAATGCGAGCAAGCTAGCTTGCTGACTCTCCTAGTGGTTTGGCGGCAAGGAAAGGGGCATTCGGGAAGCGACTAGTCGCTTCTGGCGAAGCTTCTAGAAGGCCGCATGGGACCCATAGATTCATTGTCTGCTGTGCAGAAGCTTCCTTCCTGCACCTGCATGCGCGCTTCCCCTGAAGGAGGCACACATTGTAACAATTCATCGCGATAGCTGCCTTTGGCTCTAGCCGGGAAGGGGCCTAGAAGTGCCTACTACTACACCATACTACAGGCGTCATCGGTTGTTTTGAACACAGATCGGTCACACTACTGGTTGTTTGGAACGCTAAGGCCGAAAGGCAGGCGGTCGGGAACATTAAAGGCGAGTCAACAGAGATGCGCGGGTTCCGTTCCCTCTGTCCGGAGGGCTTCCTTCTTTGAAATACGTGGCCCAGAACCCTATACGGGCTTTTCCCACCGATGACAGACTTGTTCAAGCACGATGGCTTCGGATGAGAGAGGGTGGTCGTAGATCATAGTTCTGTAGCGAAGCTAGGCGAATGCCAGGTGATTTTTAAAGGAGGCGGTTGAAAGACCGGCCTTGAGAGGACAAAGTTTTCTTAATCTTAGGTACCCATGAATCCCTCCACTTATTATAGTGGAAATGCCATAAAGCGCGTCTGCCGAGGCAACATTGGAACCTTCAGGCTGGGGCATAGGTATAAGTGTTGGAGCATAGCGATAGAGGGCTTCAATTAAAATGGGGTCATTTTCATTGTGGTATGATAAGTAGTGTCGTACCACCACTCTGCTAAGGATAACCACTTATATACCACTTCTGTGGCGCGAGTGGCCTTCTGTCCTACTCATTAATCATTAATCTGGGGTGAAATAACAGAATGATGTTAGAGCCCCCTTCAATAAGAGGTCCAGCTATTTTGCATTCCTCGGAACAAATTATCAAGCTAGTGCTACTGCCTTCCTTCGTGCGCCTTCTTTGATTTCTGTGGCAGGGAACACTTACCAATACCTACTCTTTCTTGTACCTGGCACTAGTAAAATTGTATCTCGGTTCATGGCATGTTAAAACGACTCTATCGGCTTATAGTCATTCCTGGCACTCGGCGCATGTCTTTGATCAACACCGGTTCCGTCACTCGTATCTGGTTGAACCAGTACTTCCTTTCTGCCGTTCCTAGGGACCACCCACTCCCGTTCCTTGGTTGTTGGTGTATTGGCTTAAAGGAAGAAATGTTCTTGGTGGATGCAGGACTTGGGACCGCCAAAATGAGTATGCAGGATGAGCCTAAAGGAGTTCCAATCAACCGAGCCACCAGGTTTGAGAATAAGGTGGGATCCCTGGATCTAGTGGCCAGCGAATCACTGATCAAAAAGCATATTTTTTTTTAGATTCTTCATGGATCTAGTGGCCGGTGAATCACTGATCAAAGAGCGAGCTGCCGCCAGGTTTAATGATTTGGTGGGATCGACAGATGCAGTGGCTGGTGAACCGCTTCTTCTTCTTCCACGAAGATTCACACAAAACTGAGCTTGGATGGAACTGAACAAGATTTGGCGAACGAATAGAAAGGTCAAAGGCTTTTTTTTTCTAAAGTAAATGGAGATTATTCAGTAGAATCTGGTTTGGTTGAGAAGTAAGGTAGGACAGAGCCGCCGTTTGAGCCCCGAATTCTGATCGCTTTTACGCGAGAAAGGGGGACCACCCTCTAAGCCTAAGTATTCCTCAGTGACCGATAGCGTACAAGTACCGTGAGGGAAAGGTGCACAATCAAAGCCTGAACCACGACCTTTAGTTGCATTCCTTTCCCCTTCTCCTAGTTAGGTAGTGCTCCTTCTCGAATACCAGACTGAGAGTGGGAGATTGACATCCTTTCAATCTTGGCTAAGAGGACTATTCAAATCCTGGTGAAGTACTCCGTCTAGATGCCCAGAGAGGATGAAACAAAAAGAAAGGTTTGGTTACGGGAACCAACGGTGACGAAGGTTACCTACTTTCGGTGGACGTGGAGCCAACGAGTTCAGTCGAACAGCGTAACGAGTCTAAGGTTACAGAAGCGTTCGCCTACTTTGATAGGCATAGCATTGCAAGCAAATAGAGCAGAGAGCTTACCCTTTCTTTCTATTAGAGTCGTGAGCTTGTTGTAGTCGGTCCTAAAGAACCTTTCTGCTTACTTGCTATATCCCCGCGTCCTTGCACGGCTCGGCTCGTTCTTCGAGCCCTGCTTCCCCCTTCCCCCTCTCCCCGTTCTACCGTCCAAAACAGGCCGTATGGAGTATAGCCAAGTGGTAAGGCATCGGTTGTTGGTACCGGCATGCAAAGGTTCGAATCCTTTTACTCCAGATTATGAACACCCGATCGGATCTGTCAAAAACGAGCTGACGACTACTTCTGAAGCTTAGGAGAGGAGACTGTTTCGCTGTCGTTAGATTGTGTGGCAACGTGAGCCAACGCCAGCAGAAAGGAGGAGGAGACGTCTGACTCTGAACCATTGCTGTGTTTAGGTCCCTACTAAGCATAATTCGTAAACTATGCAATGGCTATTTGAAGACTCATCTTGGCTTGTAGCTGTTCGATTGTCCTCTGATTCTGCGAAGAGAAGGCGAAACGCCGCCGAAGCAACATAAGCAGGCTTCTATTGCTACGTAACAATAGAGCAGGATAGCCTTTTGCGCCCATATGTTTTAATTTTAGGGTAAAGAGCTTGCTTGTTCTATGGGATCCGACGCATGCAGCAGAGCGAAAGAGACTTCCATTCTTTTCGGCGTCATCCTTCCACATTGGCGGCGAATAAAAAATGAATTAAGGAATAAGACATTAGCATTAGAAAGAGTACAGAGGCATTCCGGGCCGACTACAATACAAGTCATGAGCGATAGCGAAGCCAAGCTGGATAGGCTTTTAGAATATAGCAAATAGTCTGATTTCTTTCCATATTGCCTATCAACTGACTAAGATTCCATACCTATCCTGGATTTGAACCTTACTTCAAAGACTCATACCAGATGCTTTGAGCAAACTAGCCTATCTCTCGGCAGGATGGTGTGCCCAAACTGTCATTTCATTCGAGGCGGGATCGGAGTAAGGGACGAAGTCTCGAGCATCGGTACTCGCAGCCTTTAGGTTTAGGTAATCGTCATATTTCCAAAGCCGACAGGCCTTCACGCCCCGACCCTCAGATGCGGGGTTCACTGAGCAAAGGAGTCGGCAGATGTTACATTTTTTTAGACTCCACCTTCACGAAACTACTAAAGAGAAGCTTCGAGTCTATCGGGAGAGGATGTGGTGGTAACCCCCTCTCGTCTAGAGCCGGGCCTAAAAACCGTACGTGCGGGTCTCCCCGCATGTGGCTCACGCCATTCGAGGTGGCGACCTACACCGGTACAAACTAATCCAGGACTTTCTGCCAGCGCTAACACCATCCGAGCTTGCACTGCCGCTCGAAGAGAGATGCCTGTGAGACCCTCTCAAGTTCTTGAATTCGAAGGGGAGAAGGCTCTCCGAAGCTTCGATTTGGAGGCTTGGGCTGGAGCTCTAGCTAGTTGGACTAGAAGCTAGTTATTCCGGTCCTTATGTAAGAACTAGTAGAAAGAAAGTAATTTTGAACTAAATAAGGCAGCATTGATAGACCGTTGAATGAGAATGCTTGAGTGGGAATCGTCTTAGAAACTGTCTATAGACATAACTAAAAGCAGCCGGGAGAGGAGAGAAAATCTTTCATGAGAGAGGGACGAGCGAGTGAGAGATTGGGAAAAAACGAGGTAGGCCTTCTGAGCGGTCATTTAGGGGCCTTGTTAGCGAGCCATCATTCTTCCCTAAGCTGCCAGAGTCCGATCGAAGCAAGCAAGAGATAGAGGAATCATCGACCGGCTACCCCTTTCGAGCTCAGCTGACCCCTTCTTGATTCCGTTTTTTCCCTATTTGAGATAGATGAATCAATGACAGCCGCCCGAAAAGGAACTGCAGTGATCTTGAATAGGGATCCTACAGCGATAGAGAGAATCCCCATAAAAATACCACTAGATCGAGCACCAGTGATTTCGTAGAAAGTTGAACAGGAAAGTTGATACTGGCTTGTTCATGAGGCTAGTTCAGGAATTAAGGTTTTCTAGTTTCAATCTATAAATACCGTTTAGCCCTCACTCGCCGGTGGGCTCACAACACTTGCTTTGTTGATTGAATCGATCGGGATGCCCTCGGGGGCATCCCTCCCTATTGTTGTTGATTGAACAGTGGAGATTCTCATACTTTTTAGCTGACTTCTTGCTTCCTTCGTACATTAGCTGCACTAGACTGTTGAGCTATAGAGTTTAGACTGACTGACTCCATGGCACTAGTTAATAGCTATCATAGATCGTTCCGGCCAGTGTCTGATGGACATGCTTGCCAATCTTGAGTTGTCATCGGGTAGGGCATGATTACAGCGAGTGTTCGCATGACTTGGGACAAACCTCTAGAGTCTTCTCCTCCTTGCCGCTGCTGGTTAGGGGCAATCGACCGATCCATAATGAAAGCACCCCCTTCCTCCTTAGGACAACAAATGGTCTCCCATGACAGCTAGGACCGAATATAGGATTGCCAACCGGATGAAAACCGAAGAGAGCATTGCCAGTTTCATTCCAGTCTTTTCTCAATTGAGAAGTCAACCAACAGGTCAATCCTTCGTTTAGAATGCAACGAATGAAGCGAAGAAAGGTGAAAGAGCTACAGAAGCAGGCAACAGAAGGAAGAGCTACAGAAGCAAGACTAAGAACGTCGACCCTATCTATGTTTCTACGATGGCCCAAGAACACGCTCTATAACTAACACTATATAAACAAATATAACAAGTGTGCAATACGCAGCATCAACCAACGGAAAAACGTAGTCACGGACTGTGCTATAATGCACCCCAAAAAGGGAAGAGCTCCTTCTCAATCCCATTCGTACCATGTCTACTTCTTTACTATGGATCATGTCTTCGGAGGCTAATGTCGGTGAATCGGTTAATATGACATAGATCGGAGAATGGTTAAATGCTTCTTTGGGAAAGAACTCCTTGCTAACTGCTTCAACTTTCGACTAGGGCAGCAGCTCCCTCTTGCACAACTCCCCCGAACAGCCCAGATCTGATTCACTTTCAGAACCTCTTCGTCGATTCCTAACCTTAAGAGATTATTCAAAAAGTCATTTTATAGAGTAAGACCGTTACTAAGAAGGAAAAAATCCCCCCATCTCGTTCGACAACAAGCCCAAGCCCTTCTCCTCAAAGAGCACTAGTTGCCTTTCAAATTCTAAAAAATCCAAAAGGTGTTCTCCAAGCCACTTCTTATATGCTTTGATTTGATTCAAAAGAAGTTCGCTTTTGTCCCGCTTGGTTCAATTAATTGGATAACTCAAAAAGAAGCGGGCTTGATTGCTGTGATTCCTTTGCTGTTCAGCGTGATCTTTAGCCCAGCTAAAGCAATTGTAGCAGTTCCATCACCGATTTGAAACCCTCCATAACATCTTTCAAAGTTTTCATTTCAGTCTATTAATTGGAAGCAATATTTTTATTCAAAGGCACCGCTAGATCGACTTTCAAAGTCCGGCTGGATGGGAATGATTTCCGGGAAAGAAGCCCCGGCTGCCATGCCAGCTCGATCTAAGGTGGGAAGGGATCGAGACCTTTCTCGCGAAGATGGTCTTCTATAGTTTAAAAATCTCGACTTTAGAAGGTGAAAAGAACCCTATTTAGGGAGTGCAATAGAGAACCTGAGATCCGATGCTTTGCCGAGAAGTCATATATTATTTACGGGATGCTACCTTATAATAGGTTCCTTAGACTATAGGCCGAAAGGCCGAGGCAGAGCCAGCAATTCTCTAAAAGCAAGGACGATTAGCTACGTTCCAATGAAGCACATTCCAACAATTACCTAGCCCGGTAGGTGGAGGAAAAAGCGCAAATCACTCCTTTTCTCAAGTGGGAAAGACGCTGCTCAATCTCATATCAGTCAGTCGTCTTACTGTTGTCGAATAAGCTCTTAGGCAGCTATCGAATGGAGTGTAGGAAAGCGAGTAGAGGTGACCCCACCCCATTCTCTTACCCTTTAGGGGAAAGAATCATTGTTCCCCCAGCTGAAGACTCACCTTAAAAATCCGTCGTGTTGCCTGTCTCTTTCTGCAATGAGTTTAGTGCCGAGATTTCCTACTCATCCGTTAGAGAGAGTGAAACTTTACTGTTCCTCGGTAGGGCTAAAGGGAGGGTGCTGGTGTTACACAACACCGCACACGAAAGCGAAGCCAGGCCTACAGCTTTCAAAGAGGGGTGAAATCAAATCCAGTTCAAAGGAAGAGCTCACAAAGACGTGGCCAAATGAGCTACCCAACAGATGACGGCATAATAAGATCTTTCTGGTACGGCAGGTTCCAATGAAGAAGAAGAGCTCAAGTCTGTCCTATGTCCTATCATCGGGCCGTAAAGCCCTCACTCTGCAAGCACTTTGATGAATCTTCTATCAGGTTTGATTTCGACCCTGATGAACCTGGCACCTTTCTTCCAGAAAGCCCCC